GTTAATTATAATTAATATGGCATATACGTACAAATGTACAGCTTTTTCCTTCATAGTCATTGTTCAAAAGACAGATTAACATAGTAAACGTACAGGTAACTATAAAATACGTACAAATTTGTCTTTATCATATAAGCTAATTCCGTTAAGGAGAAAAAATATTAACATTTCAGGAATAGAAAGTTTCAAACGACATTCTCAAGTGCCAGATAAATTAAATCAAAATTAAACTTGGCATTATATTATGATGTTTTTTTTTTTTGGAACAGTGGATATGATTGAGTAGTGGTAATGATTCGATGCACAATATGCGAGTCGTAGTAAATTAATATTTGAATTGAATCAAATGGAATTTAGTGTAGTTCAATCCGATTTAATTTCATAAATAAGATTAAATATTTGTATTGTATCTCATAATATACTAGCTCTTTATGATACTCAATAATATACCAGTTCTCCAATAACCCCCAAGTACTCATTCTTCTCGTGATTCTGACTAACATCCAGCTCATCTTAATTTGAGACTTGATCCCGATAAGGACAAATCTTATGTACTTAGTTGAATAAACTCCATTTACATAATCAGTTCTTGTTTAGCTTGATTAGCTAGATGCTTAGTGAAATCCTACTAGTAATAGTTGTCAGTCGGTCACCGATGGATATGCTAGTAACTAGTGACAGGGATAAATGTTGTGAGTGTACATTCTATTAATGGGTGCAATTCAATTATTACACTGGAAAAAAAAATTCCACTCGTATCTAACTAGGTTTATTCGTATGAGGCCTTTTAAAACAAATATCCAATAAAATAAATTCATGAGAACATAATCGAAAATGGATAATATCATACTATTATAAAGTGCATGGTGTCAATAAACAGTACAGCAAAAAGTAGATTTCGCAACAAAAGAAATTACAACCAAATTTATTTTGGTTAAGAAAGCTTGTCTTCATGACTAATTTTAGTTTGGAAGTTAAATTTGAAAATATTTGTAGTCAAATAAAACCAAAGTTTTAAATTTAATAACCAAAGTTTTAAATATTTAGCAAAATGATTTTTACTTTTTCCATATTTTTGATTGTTTAGATGTTAAGATTCGTGACATGCAAGGCAACGTGACTTGCACAATTCGGTCGACCTATGTGCTCATTCGGTTAACCGGTTGCACCATTGTGGTTACTCTTATAGAAGCTATGGTCGACCATTAACATATAATGGACGACCATTTTAAGATAGTCATTACCAAAATGGTCGACGACAAGAAAAATTGGTCGACCGATTTGAGGCAGTCATAAAATAGATGGTCGACCACAATAGGAAAGAAGTTGACCTTTCGATTTAGTCATACAAAATGGTGGACTGTAAAAAAAGAAGAGGTAGACCATTTCAGGGTAGTCATTACCAAAATTGTCATTACCATATATGCAATGAGGCCGACCAGATAGAAGAAGAGTCGACAACACATCAATCCATCCCTCTCGAAGTGAAACGTAAAGGAAAATGTTGATTTGGCGGTCGACCGCTTATAGTAAAAGGTCGACCGCTTACAGTAAAATAAGCATGCGATTGAATTTAGTGCTTATATCTGTCGATATCTGTACTTTGTTTGGTCTAAGAAATTATGATAGAAACCAACAAATTCAATCCACAATCATAATAGCAAGAAACCATAACTTCATAACATCTTAATCACTAACACCAAATAGGCAAATACAATAAAACACACCTCACAATAGTTTACACATACCTAAAATCGAAAACCATAACGACATAATATCGATCCATGATCATAGTTGCTTTAAACCAAATCGTCTTTCAGACTTAACAAAGTTCACAAAAAAAAAAAAACAATTTAAATCATGGAGTTCCTAGACCTCTCTCCTCTCACTCAGTCGCATTTTCCTCATAGGTGTTGCTAGCATTATGGTAATCAGATGTGGTGGGATGCATGTATCTTCCTCTGAAAGATCGAAATTCATCTCGCGTCTCTGTTACACTCACCTGTAGTTGCTCATGTGACTGGGCTTTGAGCTATGATATTATATAGAAAATTAATATAATGGGTATTACGGTACCCATACTACCCAAATGGGTATTGGCGGGTAACCCGTGGTACCCAATGTCAAAGTTTTAATCCCAAGTCCCATCCTTTAATAAATATTATGGGTAATTGGGTACTCGTAACCCTAAAAAATGAGACGGGTATGGGTATACTCAAATATCCGTTTCACGTTATCCATCACTAAATAATTATGAGTTCGATGTTGATAAGGCAATGCAATAGAGGTCTAACCTCTTAAGAATAAGATATACCATTTAATGTACAAGGTTGGCCGCTTTGTTGAACGTAACAAAATAGAAATAGTAGATTCGAACTATCTTTATTACTTTGCGGTGGACCTATTTTTGCAAGTCATCGTAGCAAAGTCCAAATGTTTATATAATTAAAAAGGATAAACAGAAAAAAAGTAAAAGAATTCGGTCCAAAGTTAAATTTTTTTATAGCCCTATGGAAAGTTTAGGAACTATATATGGAAAAACTGTTAAAACATGGCAACCATATGATATTATTTGTATCTAAGGTTATCAAACCTGATTAAGCCATTGAGTCGGTTTGGCAAGGAATTTGAGATCCAATGATCGAATATGGGTTTAACGGGGTAAAGCCGTTTTTGACAGGATATGTGGGTACGTACTCGATATTGGGGAGAAATTGAAAACTAATAAATTATGGATATATATGACATCCTAAAGGCAATCTCAGTACAACCTAGATTTATGTATAAATAACATACATCATTACAAACCAAATTATGTATCCTCACATTTAAAAACTTATCTAAAAATTCATACTTGAATATGACAAATGATAACGTTCAACAATCAAATGTTCATGCATGGAATGCATACTTTAAAAATAAAAGAGCACAATGAAACATCTTCAAAGACAAAGCCGTCCAACTCCAAGTCCAATGCTTCAACAATTTGAGAAATGTCACAATCAATTTCATCAGTTACATCATAATCGAAGTCTTCTACACCAAAATCATTAAACCAAATATTCTTTATATTTTGTGATGAGTAATAACAAGTTCATTATTGTATGAAGAATGTATTCGCTTTTAAGCTATAATATTATGACTCGACCTTCAACACGCGGTTGTATTCTTGAGGATGATTCCTCCTCCTTCTCAGCACTTTCAATCTCTTCACATTCAATATTCAATCTTGTCTTATCAATTGTATCCTTCTTCCACTATTTCTTTAAGCTCCTACAAGTAAAAAAAAAATGAAAACAATTAACTATATGAAATATTAAAAAGGTTTACAATGTAATTTGTAAATTAAACATGATATATTCTTCAACCTCATATTGTAAGTCACATAAAACAAGATAATTCAACTTTTGATGCTCCAATCGATTCCTCTGGTTACTATGAATATCATCAAACACACTCCAATTTTTCTCACAATAAGAAGAAGATGATGTTTGAGACAAAACTCGTCCAACAATCTGGCTCAAATTTGATAATCTCCAAATCGTGTCCACCATGCAGATAGTCAATAAAATATTCCTTAAGCAATTATAATTTGATAACATAAATACAAAATATAAACTAATAAGTGATTACTGCAAACAAGGGCTTGATCTAGTGGTTCTACCACTAGTCTTGAACCTGAAGGTCGCAGGTTTGAATCCCTCAAATAGCATCTTATAATGGAAAAAAAACATATATCATCCTTATCTAAACAAAACTAATTAGTGATTACAATATTACTTGGTGGTAAAGTGGTAGCACATGAGAAAGTTAATTTCTTCCCAAAGCTCCCCATCTTATATCTATAAAGCCTACTCTCTTGAATTTCTTCGTCGAAATTTTGCAAATAACCCTTCAGCTTCAAGGAAATTGACAAGACAAGATTGTACTCCACGCTCAGCTCAACCTTCCTCGGTATACTAAAAAATTGGATTCAAGAAATATGCAACTACATAGAGGCTATGTCGAAGATGCTTCTCCTATCTCGCATCAATCATCCTCACATGAACATGAACCCCTTTTCCATTACCTATAAAAGTGTCATTGATGGTATTCTTAACCCTAATTATTCCATCAAGAACATACCCGAAAGATGGTTGTTTATTAGAATCAACAATCCTCAACAATTTCACAATTGGTAATGTCAAGTTAACCATTATGAAACACTTTTGCCAACAACTGTTATCCAACAAAATAAACTTGATGTGTTTCCCTTCATTACTTTTTCCAAACTTGTGAGGTGCAAAGTCAGCGCGTGCTTCATCGATCACTGCACCAGCTCCCATGCAACGTATGATCAACTGCCACCGGTGATAAACTCGGCATCGGAAGTATCTGGAATCTACATATTATCAAATTGGAAGGGGAAGGGTCGCTTCGTTACCCTCAACAAAACTACTCGTGATTGCCAAGGACCCACGACTTCCAATTCATCGATTGCAGGGGCTAAGTGGCGCGTGCTTCATCGATCACTGCACCAGCTCCCATGCAACATATGATCAGCAAGAAGACCCCCCTTAAACGGCAGTGGATTAGAAAGGAAGGTCCAATTTGGTTTCATAACTCTATTTCTATGGTTGAGCTTGAACCCACCACTGATGTAGGGCCGATTATCAAAGCCCAAGATCGAAATGTTGAATCTCAAAGTGGGCCTGTAGCTAATCCACCCTTGCCCCTTGGGCCAATTTTCAAGCTATCCTCCCTATCGGTTCTCATTTCTTCATCTCCCATTCCAAATCCCATCGGTGGTTTGCACGAACGTTGTAACCACTTAACCTCCATTAACCTTCATCAATTCACTTTCCCTTCACATTAAGCCTCACTCCTCAAACACTTATCCATCCCCCCCCCCCCCCCCAGGACCGCAGAACTGTGCCTTTAGCTCTGTGCAGTCCCTCGACCCTTTCTCTCCCCCCTCCTAACCAGAACTTTCCACCCCCCTTTGACCGATCAACCTCAGTATGGAATTGGTACCCTGCACACCCATGGACAGCAACCTCCCCTCAACCCCTGATCTATTGCCTTCTTCTAGCTTTTCACCTATTGTCACCCCTCCGGATATCGCATCCCATCTAACTGCATTACCTTCACTCTCCTGCACCCAAATGAGCCCTACCAAGAATTGGGATTTTAACTCTTACCCCTTTGATGAAATCACCCTCAAGTCTAGAAGCCTCGACCTGGGTAGAAGATTCAATTTGATTTCGGAGGAGAATCCAGAGCAGGATGAGAACATCATTTCTGAAGCATCAAGAACTACACACAGAAGGAAGATTCGTACCTCTCGGTCTAAACTAGAGATGGAAACGTTCAGACTTGGGCCCCAGGTGCCTCCTTCGTCAGGACCGAGGCGTAGCAGAAGCAAATCTAAAGGTTGGGATGACATCTCTAATGCAAATTAATGGGATCATCCATTTTCATCTAGAATGTTAGATAGGGATGGTAAAAATATCTGTAACCGTGGATATCCGCCCGAATCCGACCTAATCGAATAGGGTAAAACCCGAACTCGAAGGACTTTTAGTGGGTACGGGTAAAACCCAAACCCGAATATTGAGGGTAATGGGTGGGCATGTTTTTCTCACTATCCAACCCGAACCCGCCCGATTATACACATGCATATGTATTTTGTCTAGAAATAATCAATATTTTTCTCTAACATATTTTATGTTTAGCATATAAATATATATATTTTTTTAAATTGTGTTGTTTTAATTAATTTTGTCCATTCTAGTGAATAATTGTCGTACTTTTTGTCTTACGTAACGTGAGAATACGTGTGAATATTAATATATTGGTTGAAGTTATAAAGAGAAACCATTACCCATGAATAACCGTGGATACCCGAAACCCGAATGGGTATGGGCATGGTTTGGATTTTCTACACGTTTCTTATGTGGGTATAGGTATGGGTAAAATCCGAACTACTTTGGGTAGGGTAACGGATATGCACTATCCGTCCCTGACCCGACCCATTGCCATCCCTAATGTTAGAGGCCTGAGTAATGAGGAGAAGAGAGATAGAATCAAATATATTGTGGGAAGAAAAAAACCAAAAATTATTGCGCTCATTGAAACAAAATGGAGTACCTCCAGTATTGAGCAGATTTCTAGCATTAGTGGTTCTCATGATGTGGGTTGGAAGGCTAAAGATGCTAGTGGAAGCTCGGGGGTATCACCATTTACTGGGACAAAGTTTTAAATAGGGAAGTCACAAATTTTGTTGGGTCTCATTTTATCTCTATTGATTTCGAAGATATTCCTTGCTCCAAATTCTGAACTCTTGTGGTTTTTATGGTCCCCAGAATAGAACTGAGAAATTGAGGTTTATATTTGATCTTGAGGCTTATTGCAGCCAACTCCAGAATCCGTATTGTTTGGCTAGTGACTTCAACTTGATTAGAAGCCATGATGATTATGTTGGGGCGGATAGGAATTCAGACTTGATGAACGAATTCAATGAAACTATAGACATTCTGGTTGTCCTCGAACTTCCTTTAAATGGGAGTCGTTTCACTTGGACCAATGGTTGGAGCAATGCTTCTCTTTCGCGGATTGACAGGGTATTTGTCTCAAGTGACTTCGACAGTATGTTCCCAGATTGTAATCTGGATGCTTTGGAGAGGGTTGAGTCAGATCATAATCCTCTCTACATCTCATGGGGTGAATTTGCGGGGATAAAAAGGCCATGGAAATTCGAAAACATGTGGTTGGAAGATGAAATATTCTTCAAAAGTGCTGAAGTTTGGTTCAAAGCCCCTGTTTTTGGCAAGGGTGCTGTTTTTTTTTGTGGAGTAGACGAATGATCTTTCTGAAATGCAATATAAACATATGGAACAAGGAAACCTTTGGCAATTTAAAAGCCATAATTGATAACCTTCTCAGCAGTATAAAGTAGTTCGATGATAAGGAAGATTGTTTGAACCTCCAGGAAGTTGAAAGAGCCGAGAGAGAGGAGTTGAAACTTAAGCTGCAAAACACTCTCAACCTGCAGGAGCTGTCTTGGAGACAAAAATCCAGGGAGTCGTGGCATCAAAAAGGAGAAAGGAATACCAGGTACTTCCACAGGATTGCAAACTATAGAAGAAAAGTGAATTTCATTAGTCGTATCCAAATTGATGGAAGGTTTATTGAAGGGAAACAGGCCCTAGGTGAAGGAATTGCCAATAAGTATAAACTCCTATTTCAAGAAACTATCATTAAAAGGCCCTTCCCCAAAGACTATCTGGAAAGAACCCTAGATGAAGATGACTGCAGACTTTTGACTTTACAATTCACAGAAAAAGAAATCTGGAGTGCAATTAGTGCTTGTGACGGATTCAAAGCTCCGGGGCCAGATGAATTCACGCTGGACTGCTATAAGAAATGTTGGCCTCTATGCAAAAAAGATATACTGTTGGCTTTTGAAGAGTTCCATAGCAACGGGTATCTGCCGGACAGCGTCACACGCGCATTCATTTGTCTCACTCCTAAGGTGGATGTGGTGGAAAGCGTTAAGGATCTTCCGATTTTTCTTATGAACAGTTTTCATAAAATCGTGGTTCGATATCCAATAGCACCAGTAGCACTACTGAAAACTGAGGACTGACTTGGTGCATTGCCCGATTCCATCTATCTAGTATAACATGTAAAAGTAAAACAATTAACATAATAGAACATCATCAATTTAACATTACACTCGCCCTTCCCACCATCCATTGATATCAAAGCCAGTAAATCTGTGTTCATCTTGTCCTAGACTTATTCCTTAAGCAAAACAAGAATCAAATGGACTCATGGCTGTCGAAAATCATAAAAAATGGGCAGTAGGATGGTCTGTGGGGAAAATAGAGATCGGAGGGGCTGAGATCAGGTGATTAAGGGGGGGGGGGTCCTCTTAGTCACATGGCTAAGTGAATCTCAACCTCATTAAAATCTAAAGGCTCCTATTAATCTAATTTAATGAATGGTACTGTAGTAATTACATGATTTAATTATTCAAATTAATTAAAAAATAAAGACAGACGGATTTGCTAGCGTCGACATCATCTTCCCCAACGCTTTTCAAGGAACTCCCCTGTCGCTTTTCACCGGCGTTGTCGTTGCAACCGGAGCTTTGCCTGGGAGATTATTCTTCCTCGGCGCTTTAATTTCCTTGGACGTTTTCTTTCCCCAAACCACTGGGACGTTTCCCCAAACCACATTAATTCCTTGTGAGTCTCGGATGTTTATTTCCCTAGAGAGAGAGAGAGTTGATGTGAATTATTTGGCAAGGGATGAGAATTATTTGTTGGAGAGAGAGAAAGAAAGAGTATTCTTTGCACTGTTTGTCAGTTTATTTTGTAATGTTTGTATGCTTTGTTATTTTGTAATGTTTGTCGTTTTTTTTAATGTTTATAAACTTTGTTATTTTTGTGCACCATGTTTATCATTTTTGTCAACCATGTTTGTAATGTTTTTTATGTCTAAAAAGCAACCTGGTTGACTTTTGGATGAAACTCCTCTATATAGGGATGGAGTCTCCAAAGTCAACCCGGGTGTTTTTTCCAGTTCGTATGGATTGTCGGACTAGTTTTTCATTTTTGTCCACCATGTTCGTAATGTTTGTATGTCTAAAAAACAAGCGGGTTGACTTTGAGACGGAGCCCTCTATATAGGGATGAAGCCTCCAAAGTCAACCCGAGTGTTTTTCCAGTTTGTATGAATTTTTTGTCTAGTTTGTCATTTTTGTCCACCATGTTTGTATGTCTAAAAAACACCCGGGTTGACTTTGGGAAGGAGTCTCTCTATATAGGGATGGAGCCTCCAAAGTCAACGTAGTTGTTTTTTCTTTTTGTATGATTTGTATTGTTTGTCGGTCTAGTTTGTATTTTTTGTATAGTTCATATGTTTGTAAATCTGTTTGTATGTTTTGTCGCTCTAGTTTGTACTGTTCGTATGTTTGTATGGTTTGTACTTATTTGTAAGTCCGGTTTGTATACTTCGTAATTTTCCATAATACCCAAACTACTCTTGTCATTAATTAAATAGCCCTTCCCACTTTTTAACCATCAGATTGCTATATCCAAATTTAAGGGCAGAGAGAATTAGTCAAGTGACTAAGCACCCCTTAGTCACTAGATCCTCTCTCATGCCGAAGTGGCCAAGTGGGCAGAGCAGTTCTATAGAAGAACGACCTCTTCTGTTGAAATTTTATGGGCCTAAGTCATAGTCTATTACTAGACTGGACTAAGTAAAGTGGGCTTATAAATAAACTAAAGCTCAATTCTGTTGGTAACTTGACTTGGTAAGAGCAAGAACAGATTTCAACTAAATCACATGAACACTTCCTTTTAAAAACAAAAAGAAATCACTATAAAAAAAAACAAAAAGAAATCACATGAACATATAGCTAATACATGTAGTAGTAGAAACACTTGCATAAGAAATAAAAATTTGCAATCAGACTTGATAAATTAGCAAGTGGATCAACACGCTTGCAATCTCCACCAAAATGTGCCTTCAACCTTATTTAGCAATAGCAATCGCTATTAGAAAGCTAACGAAGATGGTCTAACTCGCTAGTAGTTGGATGTACATGGTGACAATTGTTTATCCTGTCTGTATGATTTTGGATCGCGGTACTTGAACATTATATTCTCAATTGATGTTAGGACCCTAATCAGATTCAATCTAGTGGCTAAACTATGTTCCATAATGAACTACAACCCCACAATATCTAATAATGAGATTAGAATGTGACAACAAAAAGGGTTATGAGCCCTTCCTCCAACATTTCAGTTGAACAAAAAATATCAATGAAAAAGTGCACATAGATTAATCACCGTGGAAGTTCTTTTGTGAACTTATGAAATACATTATATATGCGCATAAAGTGGCATGGAAAAAGCAAGTCGCAAACAACTGTAGCTTGATGGATGCCTTAAATTCATTGTCGCCGTAGGTGATATCTGGTGCTTGTGGAGATTCTAAATTGAGGGAGAAAGTTAAGTGGGAGACAAGGCAAAGTTGCTTAACATGGAAGGCAAAGATGCATCATGCACATGCAAGCACCATTGTGTCTACAGTCCTTTTACCAAAAGGGGAACAACAGTTATACCCATTAGATAAAAAATATATGAATATCCTACCAAAAAAAAAAATATATGAATAATTGGTCTACAGTCTTTTTACCGAAAGGGGAATAACAGTTATACCCACTAGATAAAAATAACATGCATAGACAAATGTTAGTGTACTTTCTTACGTATAAGAATTACATAATTGCATAATTGTATACACGTGTTTGTACGTATTAGATGTAATATTGTTTGATTGAATAAGAATTGTCAATTATTTTTTTGGAATTATTTTTTTAGATTAAATGAATCGTATAGTTTAGTTAAGAAAATTAAAATGGGGTTTACTAATATATTTGAGGTAA